TATTCTGATAGTCCAGAAAACCCATTTATTATGGACTCAAAATAAAAATTTGTATGCACTGAAACTATTTCCGTGGAATTAACTCGAGCAAAGGGATTTTCGAAAAGGATTATAAGTACTCAGGAGGCGAGTTTAATTAGTTCTTAACCTGACTAGGTTTGTATTTTGATAGAAAAGTAATTTAATAAGAAAAAGCTATACAAATTTATTTTTGTTATTTTACCAACTTGATTATCATTTCCTTAAAATCAACTTAATTAGTGAGGCTGCAGATCAAAATAATGCAATAATTTATTTTTTGGTGATAATAAAAGCTTACTCGGGGCATATACAGGCCCTTGAGGTCCTGGAGGGCCAGGAAATCCTTGCGGACCTCGCTTTCCCTGCTGCCCCTGGGGACCCCGGATTCCCTGAGGCCCTCTTGCGCTGCGCACGGGAACTCGAATTCGGCTTCGTCCTGACAAGCTCAAACTTTCCATTGGGTCTAAAGGAGACTCCATTATGCCCGAATCGACAGAATATCTCTGTCTTCCTGAACCCATATTCGAAATATCAGCTTCACTGTCCATTGCCAAAGAGGATGTAGATATAAAGGTTTTGGATTCCGTCTGCCCACACTCTAGTTGAAGCTGACAGCTGGCTGGATATATTTCCGGTCCGATTCGTTCACTCGGGGGCCTTCGGTGACCGCTTTCTGCCCTTTTATAAGCAAAATCTTCCTTTATTGAAGCGCCTTGACTTCGTGGCATTATGGCATTCCATCCTAGATCGGATAGCGTATCCTTCTTATTAGGCCTTGTGTAATCAATTGAGTTTGCGCTGATTTTGACTACTTTATCATTGATAGTCTCTCCTTGCAATGCGCTTTTAGCTGTGTGCTTATGATGCTCCTCATCAGAGTCTGCTTGCTCTGGCAGGCTCGTATTGGAGTCAACTAAATTTGCGGAGAGTGATTTTGTGGAACCAAGTGCATTTTTTACAACAAAGCACAATAAACACGAAAAAAAAAGAAGACGGCCGGTGGGCGATAAATGACCTCCTGAAGTTACTACCATGACTGCAATATTCAAATAAGAAGGCTTCCTTATGGAAAACGTCTAGTAAAGCCTCTGCAGGAGTAGAAATTATAGAGGAGCGTAACTGAGTATATTTCAGCCTCCTAAAACAGCATATGGCTGGTCTTAAAGGAGTAAGAGAACCGTGATTGGTAGGCATCTGACAGACAGAACGAAAAGCCAACTGAGGACAGAAGGCAAAATAGAATAAGTTTAAATCACCGATATCTCCCGAAGAAAGGATAGCATGCTCGCTGAAGAGGAAGAGCAGAATAAAAAATCTAGAAATCGGATGGTATCTTGTAGAAATGACAAATAGACGGGGTTAAATGAGTTATTTATTTCCTTACGCATGATAAAAATATCAGTACTCGCGCATGAGTAAAGAAGCTTAATATCAGCAATTGAATTAAAAAATACACTTGTAACGACAAGGATAAATAAATATGCAAACAAAAATGCAAACGGGAAGAACAGAAAGGAAGTGATCCTGCAGATAAATTATCAGCAAATGCGACATACGAAGTAAGCCCTTTGAATTATAATACACACATGTTGTGAAGCATAATATTATCTTTCCAAAAGACTTCGTATCTAAAAGATGGCTATACAATTTAAAGAACGGTTAATTTTTTTACATTTCACAAATTAACGTCTGATTCAGTGATACGTGGCGATTAGGCCTAAAAGAGTCTTTAGCTTTAGATGGAATAACCCTATAAATTCCTATAGATTCTGACAGTTTCATAGGAAAGGTTGTCAAAAGACTTTTAAGCCTTAGATGGGCTAAGTGTCCATTGATATATATGAAGAATGGGGGTCAGGGTGCACAAATAATTTATATGATTATTATTATTTATTAGGGATTAAAGATTTTAACCTTTATTTTAGTAGCAGTTTACATTTGCTGTGTAGAAGTGGTTTGAACTCATTTTCAGAATTAGTTCATCCTGTCAAAGCGATTTCGATTTTCGCGCCTTTTACGGAGTCTTCTGTTTTAATAATCTTTATAGTTACAGTCATCAAAAAATTAAAATTTTACATTCCCAGACGCTTAGAGGGTACCATATTCGGCATCTTAATGGGATTTGAAATTCATAATACCAGGATTAAATAAGTCTTTTAATTTTAGCTTCGATTAACTGTAGCTTGGTGCTAAGAATGGTAGACTAGCCTGGATGAGATGACGCTTTGGTAAATTATATTGCATCCAAAGGTTTACTTATCTCATTGTGGGAAAATTCGTGATCATTTCTTCACTATCTTAAGCTATTAATACTGATAGTGGCTCTTATTCGCATCAAGTCTAGATGAAAGAATTAGTTTAGGAAATGGAGGTTAGATCATATAAGCATAAATTCTAGTATTCAAGGGGCCAACAAAATATGAGAAGCTTTAAGGGGCCCGAGAACAGAAGCAATAAAGTTGTAGAATTACTGTCATTATTCTTTGGCTTTTGTCCAGCGAATTTTTGAAAGCATTATTTCTTATTAGGAAAATGTCTTCACATGATGGAGTAAAGCTCACAACGGTTTTAAATGGGTCGCAGGGCAATGGCTTGCTGAAATAAATTACAAGGCAATTTTCCTTTAGTTTTTGGTGACACCAAGTTATAAATCCATTCAACCTAAATTTATGGAAAAATATACGTTAATTGGTGTTCTATGTATCTTTAGTTGACTAATTCTTTTAGTATATTCCGTAATAGAATTTAATCAGACGCTTCAGTTTCCTTTTGCCCCCTTTCCATTTAGCAAGCTATGCTTATTTCTCTTTTAAAAACGTATCACCAAGCCCTCTAGCCAAAAGGTCTAAACTACTTTTTCTTTAAAGGCAATTATATGTAAGGCAGTAGTATACTGGTTATCAATTTTACCTCTTAATAGTACTTTGTCTTGGCCACAAATTTGGCCTTTATTTCTATCCTGGTCCAACTTAAAAATATCTATTGAAAATACGTTCTTTTAAAGGAATAGATAGCTATACCTTGACGGAAAGAGAGGTGATAACGTAACCGTTTC